TAGCCTTTCATACATTAGTCGGCTAGTTACACGTTGAAGTTGGTTGATTTAAACAATGACCATTCCACACACATCATACACTAGAAGTTGAGGATAACACACAAGTAACTGTACATTCATTAAAATATATAATGTACAAGCCAGCGGGGAGTGACGTCCTGTGTGTATTGTAACCATCAAATGTAATTACAAACTTCCTTAGCTTTATTAAACCTGCGGGGCTCAGAGGAATGTTCCTGCTTTTATACATTTTGTTAAATCAACACTTCACAGCATATCAACATATTATTTTACACCGTCTCAGTGTGGTGCTTTGACTAACTCACAACAAAGTTAACGTATTTCACAGTTCTGTTCTCACTTATGAGAGAGTGTTGGCGAGAGGTTAATACAGACCAGCCCAGCATGGCTATAATATTATGACACGTCAGATCTGAAGGACATTATGCTAAAAACAACGACAACAACAACGACAAAACAAAAAAATAAAAGCCAAAGAACCAACATACACACACACACACACACACACACACACACACAGAGAGAGAGAGAGAGAGAGAGAGAGAGAGAGAGAAACAAAAATTCCCAAACAAACAAACAGAAAAACAACGTATAGATTCTGAAGAAAAGTACATCACAGGAGACAAAACAATTACCTTGTATGGCCTACCGTAACGGTACTTGTGGACATGGACGTTTACAACGTCTAAAGCAGTAGTCTTGTCGAAATGCCAAACATCGCTGCTATAGGATCCATTAAAATTCATGTGGTCCCTGAAGCCGCACTGTAAGTCCCCTTGATCCCCAGTAAGGTGGTCAAAACTTTGGTTGTTAGTGGTTTATAGCCTGGTTTTAATTGGTAAGAATGAATTATTGAATCTACTGTCTTCTTTGTCTTAATTGTCATGTCACGTATTTTACTGTCCTTTGTCGACAGATATTTTAAAATGAGTCAATAAGCGTCCGAATAGAGTTCTTGAGGATGGCATTCCACTTCTGCAGTAGCGCAGCCTCAAGTTCCCGGATGTTTCGCATCTGTTGTCGGCGCGAAAGACTTTGATCAATTTAGTCCCACAAGTGCTCCATGGGGGATACATCTGGCGACTGTGCTGGCCAATGAATAACCTGGTTGTGTTGCTGGGCCAGATACTGCATGGAAAGTCTTGTCGTGTGTGCCCGTGCGTTGTCCTGTTGAAAAGTATGGTGGTGATTGAAGACAGATACGATGTGATTCTGAAGAATCTGCTTACGGTAATAAAGGGCATTGACTCTCCCTTGACAGACATGAAGGCAGTCCTGTGATTGTAATTTATTCCTCCCCAGACCATGACACTCCCACCACCCAAAGGTCTGTCTGAACCACACACTCATCAGCATAACGTTCACCACGTCTACGCCAAACACGTAAGCGGCCGTCAGCATTACGTAGATGAAGACGTAACTCGTCAGTGACTACCACACCATGCCATTGTTGTAACCTTTACTGAAAATGCCTGCTAGCCCATTGTATACGCTCATTACGGTGTCTGTCAGTCAGAATTGGTCCAACGAAAGGACGTCGAACATGGAGCCCTGTAGCGTGTAGACGGCGTCGCATGGAGTCAGCGCTGATGACCCCCACGTCAACCTTGAACTAGTGCGGCAGTCGTGGCAGTCGGCAGTGTTCAATCACTGATGTGGACATGGTCAATATGGCGATCCTGATGGAGCGTCGTAACACGTTGTTGCCAAGGTCATTGAAGGTCACGGGTGCTGCCTGTCTACTGATGTCGTCTATGAAGCCTAACGATGGTGGAGTGGCCAAGTCCAAATTGTCGAGCAATATCCCTGCTGCTGGTGCACATTCTCCTTCGTGAGGTGTTAACCTCGGCATCTCTGTCCTCGTTTCACAATCGTTAGTGAAGCAATGAGAATCGGTTCTCATACACCTGCTTTTAATGTCACAGTCAATATGCTTTCAGAATGAAATTCGCGCTTTTTTCATTGCGAGGCTGCATGTTGATGCATTTTGGAATTAAGAGTCATACTGTGGACAGGAATTTGTTTCTAAAGCATTTTTTCAACTGGACATGCCCTTCGACTTCATGTTAGTTATGTTCATTGATCATTGTCATGCTGAAATCCATCTTGATGAAAATATGGACAATTTTAGACTGGTGCGTTTTCAATGATGTTCAGTATATATTAGCTCTACTTAAACCTGGCTGCTTCAATTTAAACCGCTGGGAGATAGTCTCAATGTGTTTAAGGACTGAATCCTTATCACATCCATGTCATGGTAGACTTTGTCTCGTCGCTATTTACCTGAACTGATGCCGATGCTACATGATATTTTAACACACTCACTCACTCCATGTCATGATCAAGTATACACAGGGATATTTCACATCAGTACCAAACAGGACTATCTATAGTCTCGTCGAACATTTGTGCAGTGACTAAATATAGCTGTGACGTCACTATTGTTTCAACTGCAGACAAGCAATCTACGGATTGCCAATATGTACTTGTTATAAAACTGGTCTTATCCCAGAAATAGCAAAGATTATTTCAAAATGTATTTATGTGCTGTTTACACATGTTGCAGTCTGCCACCTTACTCGTGTCAATTATTGAAAGCCCATGCTAATACTCAAGTGCCAGCTTGGTGGGTTTTCAGTAATTAATTATAAATTGAATTGAAATTTAAAATTTACAATCTCGTGATACGTCAAGTGGTGACGTAAGTACTTCCTTTTCGACACGGAAGTTTGCTTACAGCATCTATTACTGTAATTCACGTACTCACATAAGTCTGTAACTCTGTGTCATGTTGCTCTTCTCCAATCAGTTGTCAACTCGGACATCCTAACAACTGACTGACTGAGTTTGGTTTTACGCCGCTTTTAGCAATATTCCAGCAATATCACGGCGGGGACACACAGAAATGGGCTTCACTCTCATTATACCCATGTAGGATTCGAACCCGGGTCATCGGCGTGACGAGCCAACGCTTAAACCACTAGACTATCCCACCGCTCCACATCCTAACAAGGAACAGTGTGATACTACTGCTCGGGGAGTTACGTTAGGTTTATTATAGCTGATATTTCGCTAAATTAGACTTAGTTTCGTCTTTATTATCTGAGGGGCGGTGGGGTAACCTAGTGGTAAAAGCGTTCGCTCGTCACGTCGAAGACCCGGGTTCGAATTCCCACATGGGTACAATGTGTGAAGCTCATTTCTGGTGTCTACCCCCGTGATATTGCTGGAAATTTGCTAAAGGCAGCGTAAAAGTATACTTACTCATTTATTATCTGAACAGAGTAGACTCGTCCTTTATCAGTTCTCTCAGAAGGTGAATTTTATGGATGTCAAATTCTGTAATACGAGGATCATGACGTTTCGGGGTACATATTTACTCCCTCCTCGGGTGTATGAAAGCTAGGAAGCAGGGAGTTAAATATATATGTACATGTGCGAAGACAGTAGTTAATTTGCGCAGATTGGCAAAGGCAATTGATAAATACAAGCCAGGAGCAAATGCAGGTGTAATTGTGTAACATGTCACATGCATATATGTAGCTGTCTACTTCCTACTTTTCATTCACCTGATGAGTATATACTCCGAAACGTCATATTCCTCATATTACAGAAGTTGACTTCCATAAACACTCCTCCTTCGAAATGCCATTGAAAGAGTCGTAAGAGTGAGTGAGTTTAATTTTACGCCGCACTCAGCAATATTCCAGCTATATGGCGGTGGTCTGCAAATAATCGGGTCTGGACCAGAAAATCCAGTGATCAACAGCATAATCATCAATCTACGTAACTGGGTTACGATGATCAAGTCAGCGAGCCTGACCGCCTGATCCCGTTAGTCGCCTCTTACGACCATAGTATTTTTATGGTTATATGCTAGGTTTAAAATGTAAATCTGTGATAGACTAGTTATTTTACTGTCCTTCGGAGACAGGTAAGTATATATAAGCTTGTTTTATTTCATGTATACATTTACAAATTTACAACTTTCATAGTCACGATATGGATGAAATACTGCCGATGTGACTTTTAATTTTAACTCACTCACTCACGCACTCCTCTTACAACAGGCATGGGTTACTGAAGACCAACGGGCTCTTCCAAGGCACTAAATGAATGGACGGATGGATGGATGCCCTGCCCTGTCAGGCACTAGAAGGTAACATGTTTAATCTTTCCGGGTACCATTCGCTACTGGGTGGGGGCGGCGAGGTAGCCTTCTGGTGTCCCCCGCCGCGATGTTGCTGGAATATTGCTACAAGCGGCGTACTCACTCACTCGCTGCGCGGTGAGGAAAGGCAAATCATTTCTTTAGATTACACCTACTTTCCTGTGCATAATTAGAAAAAGGTCATAGAATGATTATAAGCCTTTCGAAGAAAATGTAAACTGAATGATTATGCACACATTTTGGGTTTCACTAACAAATGTTAAAGTTTGTCGTTACAGTGCCGACTTTTGAGATCGCGTTTTCAAGTACTACCAAGAAGAATATTTGGTTGTGTTTTCGAATTTGTTTTGGAATTATAAATGTGTTGAACAAAACATAGGGGATGACATGAAATCAGTTGGTGTAAAGTACATGCATTCCCCACTGCATAATACGGGAAGCGGCCTCCCATCAAATATGCCTATTGTAGGATACACAGTGCTTCAAGTTAACTGGTATTGACATCAGGAAGAACATACTTGGAAACAAAAGCTCATTGTTGCTGGGACTTTACTGCCATGGAGACCAATGAAAGTTAGCAATACGTAGTGTTAAATGAACTTCCTTGTTCTTCAATATTTAGTGAATGTAATTTTGTCATTTGTATGCACTAACTTGATAGCCATGGATGTGAAATGCCTGCTAGTTTATGTCATCATCATGACGACCCAGCAAGTTATCAATGGGCATAAGCTTCGACCTGTGTACAAGAAATTGTCCCGTCTTAAAGATGCAGTCTATGCACATCGGGCGCAATGGAAAAAACGAAATGAAGATTTTTCACAACATCATTGAAAGGAAATTCTTGAACAGAGTTGTACGTGAAACGCTGCCAAATCTCACTGAAAAGAAATTGTTGGACATTTTGAAGTCTGGTGTGCTGGACATCGCCATCGACGACTACAACCAACAAAGGATTAACCGAATGTACCGTCAACATCAACTGATCAAGGTTCACTTGAACTGGACATATCGCCAGTTGGTCGGGGTTATGGCGCTGGTGAGCAAGTCCAATCGAGAATCAAAAGAGCTGACTCGGCAGATCAAGTCTCTGCAGACCAGTGTTAATGGATTCAAAAGTAGTTTCAATGAAATCCGTGAAGAAAATGTTCGTTTGAAACAAACCATGAGTGGGATCGAGAACCAAGTGATGGAATTGTCATCTTGTTTTCCGTCGGATACATCATGTGGTGTGGTCAAGGACAGGAGCACCCGTGTGGTCTCCATCAATACCTGGGACACTGCCCTGACAACTGAGTTCTCTAGTGGATACACAGCAGAGGATGTTGGGCATGATGAATTGCTTTCCACGATTACACCAGGTAGGTGCTCACTGACCTCGCCCCGGACAACCAACACACACACCACCCCAACCCTACCTCCCACAATACTTAGCAACATTTTTGGGGTTACATGCATGTGATAAGGTAGACATTACTGAGTGGACACTCGGATTATAATAGAATCGGATGCTTTAACCACTAGTCTACCCCACCAACCCCGCAGATGTTAAGATAATCATTATTGAGGTGTATACCAAGATGATAAGAGAATCATTATTGACGGGTACATTCCGAGGTTAAGGGATTGAGGAGTACACACGAATGATAAGCACCTCATTACGAACGGGTACACACAGAGTGTAAGTGAATCATTATTAAGACAAACTCGCAGATGAAATAGAATCATTAGTGAGGGTTCACGCAAATGAGAGAATCAGTGTACAGTTATTCCTTCATTGTGCCATTTATTTGCTGTTGGTCGCCTCTTTTGAAATTTGATTTGATCTTGTACATAATACAACGTAGATATGTGTATTCTGCATGTTTCACTCTTACAGAGGTGACGTTAACCCACGAAACGCCTGTTTTGACAACTGAGGCTGAGAAGCAGGACAAAGAGAGCGAGACCTTCTCCATGCGTTCCGGAGAGCATACAGGTTGTGTACCTCATCAATGTTTCGTAATTCGTCCTTGTACAGGAAAGAGACAAACAAATTGACTGGATTGATTTCCCATGTAAACGTATTGTCAACAGCACCGTCATTAATCATATAAAGCATTAAGAACTCATTAATATCAGGGTACTGTGACATTAAATGTTTTTGCTGTTTATGAGTCAAATTAGTGTATTGTGATGGTAACATGGACTGTCCCCCACACACGATGTATTATGATGGTAACAAGCTCTGTGCCAGACACACGATGTATTATGATGGTAACATGGTCTGTGCCAGACACATGATGTATTATGATGGTAACAAGGTCTGTGCCAGACACACGATGTATTATGATGGTAACAAGGTCTGTGCCAGACACACGATGTATTATGATGGTAACAAGGTCTGTGCCAGACACATGATGTATTATGATGGTAACATGGTCTGTGCCAGACACAAGATGTATTATGATGGTAACAAGGTCTGTGCCAGACACATGATGTATTATGAAGGTAACATATGTTCTCTGCCAGACAGACGACGTATTATGATGGTAACAAGGTCTGTGCCAGACACATGATGTATTATGATGGTAACATCGTCTGTGCCAGACACAAGATGTATTATGATGGTAACAAGGTCTGTGCCAGACACATGATGTATTATGAAGGTAACATATGTTCTCTGCCAGACAGACGACGTATTATGATGGTAACATGGTCTGTGCCAGACAGACGACGTATTATGATGGTAACATGGTCTGTCCTAGACAGACGACGTATTATGATGGTAACATGGTCTGTCCCAGACAGACGAAGTATTATGATGGCAACATGGTCTATCCCAGTCATGCGATGTATTATGATGGTAACAAGATCTGTGCCAGTCACATGATGTATTATGATGGTAACATGGTCTGTCTCCGACACATGATGTATTATGATGGTAACATGGTCTGTCTCCGACACATGATGTATTATGATGGTAACAAGGTCTGCCCCATACAGACGACGTATTATGATGGCAACAAGGTCTGTGCCAGACACACGATGTATTATGATGGTAACATTGTCTCTGACAGACAGACGACGTATTATGATGGTAACATTGTCTGCCCCAGTCACGCGATGTATTATGATGGTAACAAGGTCTGTGCCAGACACACGATGTATTATGATGGTAACAAGGTCTGTCCCAGACAGACGACGTATTATGATGGTAACAAGGTCTGTGCCAGACACATGATGTATTATGATGGTAACATGGTCTCTCCCAGTCAACGCTTACCTGGTCTCAGTTCATTTCCTCTGGTGATATAGTCGTCTAAGGCGCCGCAATTCCTGTGAAGAGTTGGGGCCCCTCGTCTCACCCAAAACCCATAATTATGAGTTCGAATTCCGTTTGCCCCGATTATAGTTCTAGCGCTATCAGTACCATGGCGTGGCTCGTGGATTTCACAAAGGGTAAATGTCCTCTCTCATGAAGCCGAGAAACAGTTCAGCTTAGCTCACTCAATCAGTCATGTCTTGAATATGTTTCAGACCCAGCCGTGCACACGTTGACGCCGACAACCGACGTCACGGACAGTTTCGCTGAAGACCTTGAGGATGAAAAACTTATAACGCTGATCCCGAGGCAGAGGTTTGGTAGGTTACTGATTTTGCATCAAAATTCAAACCATATACGTTTTTAAAAGCATTTGAGTGTATCTAAATGTGTACTAGGGATAACAACTGCTCTTCGATTCACATATGGAGTCCGGTAGCGAGAGAGAATGCCCTTACGTGTGTATATCAATATGAACGCTGCACTATGAGTGAGTGAGTGAGTTATGATTAAACGTCACATCGGCAATATTTCAGGCATATCGTGACCGCTGCACTATGAAACTGAGTAAGTGAGTTAATATTTAACGTCACATCGGCAATATTTCAGCCATATCGTGACGAGAACATGTTTGACATGGAAATGGAATATATGTTAAAAAAACTGTCGACGAAGGACAGTAAAACAACTAGAATATCACAATTAGAATTAAAACTAGTGTAGAAAGTTAAAACTGATAGCACTATTTGGACAATACAACATAAAAACAGGCTATAGATCGCCAACAACTGAAGGTGGATCACCATACTAAGGACCATGGGGACTAACAGTACCTTTGCTACCTGCATGGACCCTAGTTGGATTTAAAATAAGGATTTGTAGCGTTCTCTCTACATTTTACGAGTATAGGTTCCAGATGTTTATCCTCAACAAGGTATATTACAGTGAACCTGTGTGGACCTGATAGTGTCGAGTTATCCGTAGTTCGAGACAAGCGCAATGTTGGACTAGAAAGACCACAAGGTCTGATTCGGGACTATTCAGTAACAGCAATGTAAAGGAAATACATTGATGGGATGGCATTGACGAGGATCTCAGGATAGGAATCATTGGGTTCTGTTCTCTGATCTATGAATTCATCCAAAATTGAACCGTTATTGTTGAAAATTAACATGTACTGGACAAATACGTGCAGTGATATACATATTATTTCATTATTCATTATTTCAAATATAAAATCAACTGCACTTTCAGAAGGAATTGCTACAGAGAAACGGCGTCTGAGACGAGGTCGTTATCGTCACCGTCGGGCAGAGAAACCACAACATCAAGTAGGACTGTGTTTGGAATGTCTCTTACCAAGCGATACTTATGAGTCAATTATATTCCCGATTCAAATTATGAGTTCAACCTGTGATTACAAACCCGTGCTTAGCTGACAAATCTTAACATTCTCTTGTCATAGACATAACCTGTTTCCAGAATGTAGGCATTTAACTTTGCGACCTGTTTTTTTTTCTGTTGTTCTGTGGGTTAAATATACGACTCTATGTCCGACGTTTCGAAACCATCTTTTAGTAGTTAAATTATTGTAAGAACATTTAATTTAAAACCAAAACTGTTTTGTAACGTAAACAATGAAATCTAAAAAAACACGTGTTGACAAAGTATGGAAATGTCATACAGTACAGTGAGTGAGGTTACCATAAGTTTAAAGCTGTCCCAGATCTAAAATTTAAAAATAATGGGAGAATTGGGAAATAGTAATGATTTAATTTACAGATATCGCTCCGCATCCGTCTTCGTCTTTGACGACGATCACCACAACTTCATCCACTACCCACACAGATCAGGCAGAAAGATCGACGTCTAAAACTCTCGCTGGTATGTATATTTGCATAACCTGGCAGTAAGTTCGTTCGATGGTCCTATGATAAGTCTAGTACTTATAGTATGACCAGAAATTATTGAGAATTTTAGGAATATGTTTAATTGGATTTCTAGTATAAACAACCTTGACCAGCTAAGTGCTTGGTTTCATTCAAGAGAGACAACTCCATTAATCCTTTTTCATTAGTTTTGTGAAGAGTTATACCCTTTGTTTACTTGCTAGCAGACGACATTTTCAGTTATCCTCAGAATGGATTATTTAGAAGAGGGAAGTTGATTTTTAGAGTATTATAACAAGGACATCAGATCAGCTAAAGTGATTTCAAGTGGAACAGGCATCCCTTTGTCCACTGTTTATCGTGTTTTGAAAATATTGCAAATGGATATGGCATTGAGCACCAGGCGGCTTAGGTATTTTTGTTTCAAAAACAAACAAAGGGAGTTTAGAAAACTTAAGGCTGGATTTGATTGATAGAGGTACTGTGGCTGTCTGTAAGGAGACAATTAAAACTGAGCTGCATGCAATGGGTTGGAAGAAAAGTCGAGGAATTCCATCACCGATCATGAAACCTGAACAAAAGGAGCGAAGGTTGAACTGGTGCTTACAACATAGATATTTTAACTGGGACAATGTGATTTTCTCAGATGAAAGATCTGTGTGGCTGTTTACTAATACACTGAAATTCTGGACCAAACAAACTGAAAAACCTTTGTATCAGCGCCCAAAGTACAGTTCGAAATTTAACGTGTGGGGTGGCATATCTGTGTTCGGGGCAACGTCCCTCTGTGTATTTGCAGGGAATATGAACAGTGAGCGGTACACCGATATTCTCGAGGGACATTTACTTCCATCTGCTCACGTGTTCTATGGAAATTTTGGATTTCCCAGCAGGATAACGACCCAAAACATCGTTCAAAGCATTCACAGGCCTGGTTTCGGACCCAAAATATGACATTATTAGATTGGCCAAGCTATAGCCCTGACCTAAATCCAATAGAAAATGTTTGGGGACTTTTGAAGGAAAGTGTCAATAAGAAAATCTGACAAATATTGCTGAAATGAAAGAAGAGGTGGTCCGATATTGGGACAGCATGGACCACGACTTTCTAACTTCTTTGATCAGTAGTATGCCCGCCGCATTGAAGCCTGCATTGCTGCCCATGGTGACTTTGACAAAATACTAACTGTTCACCTGTCTTTGAATCTGTGTTCTGAGTTCTGTTCTGCTAATATTCACATTTAATACGTGAGTAATGAGTGAAAAAAAATATAAAAATGTACAATCTTTAAATTCTCAATAATTTCTGCTTGTACTGTAGTCTAAGGGGTAGTGCGTTAAGCCTATGATCCTGATATCGAATCCCAGAGAGGCCTCTATTATGTATCTTGGTTCCTTAGCACCATACGCGTGCCTGTGAGTTTCCTAAAAGTTACAAACGCCACAGACGCGCATCACTCAATGACTCTCCATGATGAAAGTGAAATGTGTCTACATCAGCGTCAAACTAGACCCGCACTCACATCCCAGCTGGACACAACACATAAAGTCATATCACAGTGTTTTGTTTGTTGTTTAACGCCGCACTCAGCAATATTCCAGCGGCTTGTAAATAATCGAGTCTGGAACAGACAAACCAGTGACAGACATCACAAGCATCGACCTACGCAAATGGGATACGATTACATGCATTAACCAAGTCAGCGAGCCTGACCACCTGATCCCATCAGTCGCCTCTTACGACAAGCATGGGTTACTGAAGACCAATTCTAACCCGGATCTTCAGGGATCTGATATTACAGTCCTGCTCAAAGTGTACGTGATCATTTGGGTAAAATGAAATACAGCATAAAACTTTTATTTGGAGACGTGATGAAGGAAGTCGGAACTAGACATTTCATCACAATGACCGTTCCGGATATGTATGTTGATGTCTGAAAATAGCATGAAGGGTTCGGAATAAGCGCGTGGTGTAAATGATGAAACCCCGGGAGATAATTGGCTGAATGATGTGTAATTTGATAAGGGGATGCTGTTTTCATAGGCTCATTGTTTTCCAACTGTTTGAACATATTGTTTTCATTTACAAATGTACATTATAAGTTGTTCACTGGTCACGAGTGGGGCATGGATTGACGTACCCTCGATGTTTTTTCATGTTTCCCTCGCCCTTCGGACAACGTATTTATCTTACCGAACACCTTAATGTTAATTTTGAATTGTTTGAATCACGGGTACAAATCGTTTTGTAGCCATCGCTAGATTTTGCTGACAAGAAAAACAGATTTAGAGTTATCTCCCTTCCATCGATTTGCATTTGCAAAACATCGGTAATTTCCGTACATCCTACGTGATCATTCAATGTTATTCGAGATAAAAGAATTACCACCACGAAGTACAGAATGAGTTGCCATTAAAAGCGGGGTACATTGAAATGTAACTCGCTTGTAAGCGGGGAACATTGGAAATAATAGAAGAGCGCTCAGCCAATCAGAAAGCGACATTTATGTGTGAGGTAAGATAAGTATGAGTGTCAGTGTGTAGTAACAGTATTACATCAATTATATGAAGGATATACAGAGGAAGAAAATGGCAGTGTTTAGCGTTTGTTCCAGAAAAATAATACTTCAACCAAACTAACTCACATTATGACAACTTCAGCACTGTAAGTCCCCATGGTCCCTAGTATGGTGACCTACCTTCAATGGTTGGCAACCTATAGCCTGTTTTTATGTTGTATTGTCTTCGTAAATAAAACAACCCCAAAACATCTGTGATACTCTAGTTATTTTAGGGTCTGAGTGTTTGACAATTTATATTTATTGTGTATGCAAAACGTTTCACGTCACCATTGGCTGAAATATTGTCGAGGTGACGTTAAACTTTAACCTCACTCACTCACTGACAACTTCAAAATATATTGAACATTAAGACATTGTAGGTTACGTGTTACTTGCAGTAACTGCATGAAAACCCCCTTTCTACCAACTAAGCGATCCATCTCTATCAACTTTACTTGGTGTCGGATCAAATAAAGTTTAAAGTCCCGCAAATGACATGCAAACTGAAGGGGTATTATTATTCGAAATAATTGACAACACGAACAACAATTGTTTGGATGTTAGGATGTTTAAGTACTGCTATACAATGCATTTGCTAGAACTGAAAGATCTATCGAATCCTTATGTCACATTACCTTAATCAAATACAATATCATGTTTAGCAGCGACAGTCGTGACGGAGGCATTGGCAACTCCTGCGGAAGACCGAATGATTTCGACGACTAAAAAGCAAAGTACGTTTTATCAGTAGAAGGGACATTATTTGTAAATGTCAGAGACATTTAAAAGGGTCAATATATCAATGTGGGATACGCTCACCGAAGAAGGATGTAGGAAAACTGGAAAATTTCGAAGGGCGGTTGTTTATGATTCGGTTGATAGGAAGGACACAAGAAATGTATGAAACAGTTTGAATATATCAGATTAGAGGACATTGGGGTATAGGTGAACACCGTGAACCTTCCATCACAGGCAGTCATCGAATAGGAGGCAAAAGAAGCTATTCTGACTGTTTTCTCAAACTACCCCGACCGAATCAGTATTCAGGCCACTGATATTGTGGCGTAAAATAACGGATAAACAGGTCTTAGGCCATTGCTGCGTCGATCACGTGAGTCAGACTTGATATTCAAAATGATACGTTAATAGGCCTGCAAGTGCCCAAAATAAATGAGGTGTGTTCAAAGCCTCATGCAACTCCTTCCAAACAAGTCTTTTGGTCAAGATTACAACCCTGAAGAAATCAGCAAAGATTTGAAATAGTTTTTTTGGGTAGACATGTGGATATATTTCCACATTTGGCGGATGAGTCACAATATTTCCGATTTGGACTTTTACTCTATGTTCTTATACCTATCCTAAATTAACAGTTGACCTGCCGCTGCATGTGTTTGTGACGGGTTACCTTTTTGCAACATCTGTCACTGTTTCATGAGTCATCATAAAGACATGCGTATGATAAAGTCTTAGTTGTACAAGGGACTCTGCTTTTAGTAAAGATATCTTATGGTTATTGAATATGTTTGTAAGATCGCTTGTTATTCAACAAAGTCGTGTTTAATGAAATAATGTTAATATTACAGCCACCACAACAAGACCAGGGGACGCTGTCAGGGACATACTGAGTTTGATCAAGAATTGAGAGGCATGGTAAGATTTTCTCTAACAACTGAAACACTAGTATGCTACAAACCAGTCAAAGTTGAACAGATAAAGTTTTAACATAGTGCCTGGGAGCAGTGGGGCAAACTTGTGGCCATTGGCGCTAGCTGCTCACGTCTAAGAGGAAGTCTATATTTCATACATGGGTGCATTGTGCCAATATCTGAGCTCATCCGCTGTTTGCTTTGTTTCATGTGTCACAAAAAGGATGAAGATGTAGTCACTTTAAAGTATTATACAATTTTCTTTCCGTTTACTTCAGATATTGGAAGTTCGATCATCACTTGCTCAACTGATGTACGGGAGCCACCAGGGACTTTCATGTGTATAGATTTAATTATGATCACCCGAGTCTGAAGAAGGAGGTCTGGGGCGGATGTTCGGTTTTCTTTACCCCTAATTTGTAAAAGTTCTATTCATTTTCTCTCTTCCCTTTCGTTTTGCAATGAGGTGAGGTATTTTGATGGAATGTGTATCGGTATATTTCATAATAAACTCCCTTGCCAAGAACTTCACAATTGAATACATGCCTTGGTATTTGTAGCGAGTATGAAAGAGAATTAAGCCAGCATAATGTCAACCATATCTCGACGGCATGTTAAAGAGGCATTCAAATCAGTGGTTGATAGCATGTGCAATACCCCAAGTCATCGAGTTAAGATGACACGCAGTAACCCATGAAGATGGATTTTAAAATCTGCATCAGAATCTACCCGAGGTTAGGTGTGTGTGTTTGAATAAGTCAGTTATAGCCCCCAATTTTTAAACAACTATAATCATGGCCATTTACGAAGTGCACGACGATTGCACGACGATTAACTATCAGGATGATATGTGTATTCAAACCAACAATTATCAGATATGGTCGAAGGGACGCAACTCAATATATTCGCCCCAAAATAACCACATCATAAACTCTGTCAAAAAGAAACGCAACCCCTGTCCTCAGATATGAAAAATTCGTTTGAATGAAGTTATTGCTTCCAAACTAAATTTTATTCGAATGTATTGAAATGATACACGTAATTAATGAAGATTACCATCCAAACAACTGCATTTGTACGCATAAGTGTATTTTTTTGCTTATTCCGTCACAACGCATGAAATGACCCTCATGGTGACTTCGCACAAAAAACACATGCAAATCATGAAAATGGCAGTTAATGTAGGGGTGTATAAAAGCCCATGTGCTTCCGTATTATATTCATTCATTTGTCGCCGAAAAGCTGTGTTAAAATGCCACGATTGAGTGCTGCCGACCGAAATATCGCCATTGGTCGTGTTCAAAAGCCGGAGAAAGTTTTGGAACTGTTGCACGGCACCTAAATGTTCACAAAACAACGATATCCCGACTTGGGAGCCGCTACAACAACTTCAATTTGACCAACGATCGCCCGAGAAGTGGAAGGCCAAGAATCACGACCCCTTCAAGATCGGTACATCCGGGTCCATCACCTGCGTAATCGGCATGCCCTACCAACCGTGACTGCCACACAAATACCAGGTTTGAGGAGAGTGTCAGCTCAAACGATTAGGAACCGTCTGAAAGAAGCGGGTTTACGTGCCTGTAGACCAGTTGTTGGACCTGTACTACGCCCCTACATCGACGCCGACGACTCAGGTGGTGCAACAACGTAAGGATACGGACTTTACAAAACTGGAGGCGAATCTGGTTTTCTGATGAATCACGTTTTCTTTTGCAACGTCACGACGGAAGACAGCGTCTGTATAGGAGACGTCATAAACGTTTAGCGCCCATCTGCGTCCGACAGGTGGACAGATTTGGCGGAGAAAGCGTCATGGTTTGGGGAACCATCTCATACAACCAGAAATCTGACTTGGTGATCGTTCCAGGGAACCTGACAGCCCAACGTTACATCAACCACGTGTTAGAGCTTCACCTTCTCCCGATTATTGACCAACAGACACAGATTTTTTCAACGGGACAACGCCCGGCCTCATACTGCACGTGCAACAATGAACTTTCTGCAGAATTCCAACGTCAATGTCTTGCCATGACCCTCTAAATCACCAGACCTCAACCCTATTGAACACCTGTGGGATACTCTGGATCGACGCGTACGTCAACGTCAGCCGCCGCTACAGACGCTGCAACAGCTCGCCGTTGCACTGCAGGAGGAGTGGAGAGCCATTCCCCAGGAAAGAATCCGGCGTCTTATCCGTTCTTGTCCAAGGAGATGCCGTGCAGTGATTGCAGCGCGTGGTGCTCATACGAGATACTGAGACAGACGCCCCTGGTGACAAACTGGTGTCTGTGAGATGACTTTTGAAATGACAATTTTAAACATGCCCATCTGGGTTATTATTCTGCCAAATTTCAGACTTCTGTCTTAAATAATAAAAATGCCGTGTCGTCCTAAAACTTCAGATCAAAATCTCTAAAATACAGGGGTTGCGTTTCTTTTTGACAGAGTTTATATACATCACAGTTGAGACATTGTACAATCACCAATACACGACCAGTTTAATAAACTGGCAAATCAAAGAAATGGGAAGTAACGACTAACAGAAGAACACACACTTCGAATGAGTGTAACCGAGTCAATTCGAACAGAGGCGGGCAAAACAAAGGATTAAAAATCACGAATGTTATGAAAAAAAAATCTTTACTAGGTTAGTAACATTCGTCAAAATACTCCAATACTGCCGCACTGAGCACTATCCCAGCTATATGGCGGCGGTCTGTAAATAATCGAATCTGGACCAGACAATCCAGTGATCAACAGTATGAGAGCATCAATCTACGCAACTGGGTTACGATGACCAATTTCAAGTCAGCGAGCCTGACCACCCGGTCCCGTTTGTCGCCTCTTACGACAAGCTTGGGTTACTGAAGACCAATTATAACCCGGTGTAGCAGAATAACCCCCCACCAGATTATACCCCGGGGTAAACTATAGGCTAGCCCAGTCTGTTAAAATGTGACATTTATATTTACAGTGCAGTTGGTCAGTCAATGCAATGGCTGATGTACCCTGCCAGCTTCAGCTTGAAAACTCACACTGATTATGCTTTGTATCTGGAAAATGTATCGGACCATTTCAATGTTGTAACCAGTGTTTAATTGTGTGAGAAGTACGATAAAATTATAGTAGTATCCTTAATTACTTGTTTTCTGTAGGGGTATAATCTGGGCTAGGGTGGTATACTATGGCCTAGTTCAGAATATACCCCGGGTATAAACTAGGCTAGCCAAGATTATACCTGGGGTATAGTCTGGCTAGCCCAGTTTAACCCCGGTATAGTCTGGGACAGGGGTATACTCTGGCCTGTTACACCGGATCTTCACGGGTACCGTTTAAGGAAACGACATAAGACCAAAAGAATACCAAAATGTCAGTGCCTCCACCTGTACGTGCTTAGCATACCATACAGATATATGCTCCAGTCTAACAAAGACGCACTTGACACACGTCTAAACAGTAACCCCTAAGTGGTATTAAGATATTCAGAAAAAATATAGACAAACCGCCTTCTGTACCATTACTCTGGAAAAAGTATATATATTACAATTAAAGGTAACATAGTGTGTTACCATGATCTTTCATCCGTGGCACAAATTGGCCACAATGTTACGATGGTTCGTCCTAAATCCAATAACCACAGCTATAATGTTGTCGATCCGGAGCTTTCTATTGTTCTGTTCAGAAGGACAACGTATCTGGTCTGTGGAATAAACAAGCAGCCAAACTATAGGGTTCCTCCATACATCCATCTGAATCAGAATCGTTCGTCTCGTTTACGTTAAAGATATTCTGTGTTTTTCTGGGGCAATATATCTCAATAAAGACATCTCAATCAAGCAGGCAAGAGACATCGAATTCATCTTAAAATTCTTCATCTGTTCAAGATCACCCAAGCACTTTATATTTAAGCTCGTTGGAGCCTTTCATTTCAACTTGGCACTCTCGGATGATGGGCAGCTGTATTGACCAGCAGTCAAAGTAATGAGATTTCATATCGTAATAGTAGGAGGAAAATGAACAGTGTCTCATCGCATTAACTGATGGTCATCCAGGTTGACCTTGAGTGTGAGCAGAATACAGAAGTGAGACCAACGAACCCCTATGGCGTTGGACGTCGATAGCAAGTGGGAGACCCTATTCAAGGGCATAGCTGACATGTTTTCTTGGTATCTATGGTAAGCCAAGCTTGTCACCACTCACCAGCTCGTGTGGCCTCCATGTAGATAGTATAGTATAGTATAGTACAGTATAGTGATAGTCTTCTGTCTCCGCCTTTAAAGGTGAGCTGAAATGTGGTTTCACGTCGCGATCTTGATTTTGAGACAATGTGCTAGCCTTGTGGTTTAAGTGTTCGCTTGTCTCGCTTAAGACGGGTTCGATTCCCCACATGGGTACAATGTGTGAAGCCCATTTCTAGTGATATTGCTGGAAGTTTGCTAAAAAAGCAGTGTAACACTACACTCAGTCACTCGTTCAAGTTTTTGTGATCATATTGCGATGTGCTCTCACGTGTGAAGACACGACAACAGCCGATTGTATTAGTAGGAGTTAATGCCTGTTTTATAGTGCCGACCCACCTGGGGACCATAAATATAACATGATTACCAGACCGTTTCGATACCCCACATGGGTACAATGTGTGAAGCCCATTTTGTGGTGTTCCCCACCGTAATAGTGCTGGAATATTGCTAAAAGCGGCGTAAACCTAAACTCACTCACTACTCTGGACCGACAAATCCTTTATCACTCGTATGGCGAACTTAAATCTAGATTTTAGAATGACGAACAACCGAACTTTCGCTGTCTGACGGTGAGTGAAAGGGTTAGGTTGTACGCAGCTTTAGTAATATGTCAGCCATATTACACGGCGGGGGACACTAAAAATGGGTACTCATGTTGGGGAATCGAACCGCGCCTTTGGCGTGACAAACGAACGCTTTACCCAGTAGGCTCCCCCACAGCCCCTCGCTATCTGGCAGAGGCGGTCCGGGAGTGTTACTGAAGAACACATCAGTATTTGTAGGCTGTGTGAGAGATCGGGGACGCATAGAAAAACCTCTCGTGTTTACTGTTATCACATAAATCTTGACGAAGTAGGAACAGTGCATTGCATACATAATGTCACTTATAAATAGTGGAGAGAATGGATATGTTCATATTAACATTTTTTCGCCGTGAGGATTTACGAAACCGCGTTGACACAATATTTATACTTTAACACAAATCTAACAGTCGTACAGCTAAAACCGCTTCGCGGAACGGGTCCTAACACAAAGCGGTTCATCCTGTAGAGTTACGTCCCCTTGTCCGAGGTGGTTCTCTGTCGTGTACTCTTCACTGTACCTCACTCACTCACTCACTAACCGCCTCCCTGGTGTAGTGGTTAGAGCGTCCGCCCGGAGAGCGGAAGGTCGCGGGTTCGATCCCCGACCGCGTCATTCCAAAGACGTTAAAATATGGTACTTGTTGGTCCCTGCCTGGCGCTTACCATTAATGGGTACAACGAGGACTGGTCGGCTCGGAGTCAGTATAATGT